TCTAGTAACAGCAGTAACTTTAATTGTGTATAATCATGTTACCGAAGGGTTATATAATTATTATTACCAGTTGATATCATTTGAATATATGCTAAACATTATAGAGCACTGAAAATTCATTCAACTCCAGTTTTAATCCTAAAGATAATATAATAAACTAATATATACAGGGAATCTCTAATTAAATTTTCATAAACGTCTTCAAAAAAAGAAAGATTAAGAGATGGTGAGACGGATTCGTAGCTCAGGTGGATGATTTTGATGGAGTTTTGTTTTCTGAGCTGGATGGTTCGGTCGTGCAGTTTTCATCGTTCTTCTGAACAACATCATCAGTGACAATGACAGGTTTAAGATCAACAAGAACCAATCAACACCGAGGTCTAGTGGACAAGCTGTGAACCATATGTAGAGAAATCCGAACACTTAACTTCTACCTGAATTTTATCCTGATAATGTCGTTCAGAAGGACGACGAAAGCTCCACGACCAAATCATTCAGCTCAGAGAACAAAACTCCATCAAAAAAATAATAAAAAATAATTAATATACAGCAGAATATATCATACGAAAAGTAATCATATTTAGACATTAAAAATGTCTACACAGTAACAGATCCTATTCATAAAATTGTGTTTAAACACACTGATACCATTCTGACTGAGTGTTTTTATTATTTGAAAATTTCCGCTCAGACATTTTAAATCTATTTAAGATAGAAGGAAAAACCATTTGATTTCAGTATACTTAAGAGTTAGGAATTGAATAGTAGAACACTTTTGTTAGTGATTATTTATATCATATGTTTAATAATACAAAAAGAAAAACAATTTTGCTGACGTGAAAGCAATCCTGTGTTTAAGTCTATTTATATCTCGACTACATATATTGTCATTTGACTCATAATTTAATTTCGTCAATGAATCCATTTTATCTATTTGGCAAGTAAACATAATTACACGGGATTTTGAGCTATTTTTATTGCATATCTAGATATCTCATTGAATATTCAAAGTTTTTATACTTTTTTAACAGTTTTTTTCATTCCAAAAAAAAGAAAAAAAACTTCTAAAATTAATGATCACCTTAATGTTGTATCAAGCTAATAAAAACAATTTCATGCCAAATGAATTTATGTAAACAAATAAGTAGATTTTATATTTCTATCATCAATGTTTCAATGTGTTTAAACAATATGGTTATTATTTTTTATTATATACTGAAATCAACAATATTCGCAATGTACATTGATTGATAAATTATAAAATCAACTACAAGCACCTCTATTTCTTGAAATTATCTTTCTATATTTTCAGAAGTATCTATGTTCTATAGTATCAAACATTTACCTGTATAACATGATGTTTGAATGCTATCGTATTATGCTATTCATATACAATAGGGTAGTAAAATATACCAAATTTAATGGTGAAAAGAGTCTACCATTCTGAACAATATCAATAGCATATATTTTTACGAATCGTACACCAATGTACCTCAATCTCCATGTGTTATAACACTGTTTACTTTCCAAGGCTAAATATCCGAAATCACAGGAAATAAAACAGTTTATATTTTAATTAACGTACAATTAACATTTAAAGCATACACCATTTATGTGTTTTACATTTGACTTCTTGATCTAGCGCTTCTTTTCATTTGAATGTAATGTTTACAAAACAAGACATATTTTTGTAATCTTCTTGTCCATTTGGTTATTTAACATTTTCTGGCCAGTGGTAGATCAACAATTTAAAGGCATTCGGCTATTAGAAAGATATTTCATATTTCTAAGTCTTAAAGCTCAGATAAACATGCAGTCTATTTTTATAATGGTAAATTCATAATACCATTTTTCTACAAGTTGTATCATTGAACATTTTAGGTTCATTTGCAATTTTACAGTCTTCATTGATAAATAGTAATTTATAGTCAATGCTTTATTCCATCAGTATTGACAAGACATGAAGTATAAGTTTACGAGCGCATTTTGTCAAGAAAATTTTCTGCATTACTACATTTAAGCAGGCAAACTTGAATGATAAGAATGGTGGTTTGTAGAGATTGTAGTGATTTTAATGGTTGAATTCATGAGTCAATGTAAGCTAGACCACCATTGAAAACCTGGAAGCACTGAAAGGCCGTTCCGTTCTGGTATGGGACTCCTCAGCAGTGTGCGTTCACGGTCCCGCACGAAGGACTCAAACTCAGGACCTTCGGTTTCGTGAGCAAACGCCTAACCTCTAGGTCACTGAGTCGGCATCCAACGGTGTTGATGTCCAACTTCAATCGATCTATGATCTTGCGCAACCATTCATCCATTGCCTAGTGAGAAACCGTGACCAATGAAGTTCAATCCGCGTCGGGTGTGGGACAATTACCTACTACAGACAATACATGAATGATTGCGCAAGATTATAGATGGTAGTTTTTTGATCATTCAATACTTAGTGCTGACCTCAATTATTTTAATGGCCAAAATTAATGACCAAGTATTTACATCACTAAGAATTTTCATATGAACGCTGCGTTACTCTTACACATCGCTAATGATGTCAGGCAAATTATCATGCTGACGTAAATGCTATTACTTAAGCACTGATATTAGTATTATCTCATTTAGACGGGTGTCATTTTTCTCTTCAAATGAATAAAAATAGGAAGATAAAATTTATCAGGGAAGAGGTATCAACTTTGTTAGAAAAGCATCAAATGACTTATTTCCTCTCCAGACCGGATATTGAAGATCATTGTCTCAAATGTCTTTAATGTAACTTCAAAGCATTCAAAAACGTAAATCCAAATAACGAAGTATTGATACTGTAATATCCGTCATGTGTAAGAGAACCCTTCGAGTATACGTTCTATGTGACAATAATCATTCGTTTTCCTATATATGTAATTTTATCCCTCTTAATCTTATGCTTATCGCACTTATTTTTGGTTCAAAGGAGATTATTACTCCTTTGCCCATAAATTCAGTTCTTCAATAGTACTTCTAATATTGTATGATATTTTCCTGAAAGTTTCACGTTATCTTTTTCCTAAACCTGAAGTCTTGTGTGATCCCACATTGATTTGTCATGCTTAACTGTCTATATTTTAGTCCATTGATTTGTCTCATCACTGGTAGACAAAAAATAGTTTTTATTTGTCCTAAGCACATTTCCGCTTTCTCCAGTAAAGCTTCGTATCCACGAAAAATCTACTTATTGCATTGTAGATTTAATCACACTAGTTCTTTATAACATTATGTCGGTTGTAATGTTCAGATGTAATGCCTTTCAAATATTTTGTACACTTTTTAATGATATTTTAGTTTAAATAATGCCATAAATACGACAGGTCCATTATATTTTATTATCCTTTAGGGAGATTAAGCTTCGTCAACATAGACGCGTAGGCTATTGTGATGTTTATATGTAATATGACTACTTAGTTTAAGTTACAAAAATACGATACGATTTCAGTGTGCTCACTGATTTACGTCTGACTTGAATACCACTTCATTCATTACTGTTAGACTACGAGTTAGACGATCATGAGAAGCACTAGTTATTTAATGCGATAGGTTTTTCTTTTTACAAATCTAAATGAAGCCAAAGCAACAATTGAGGCAGAATAATATGAATTTTTCCTCGTTTATCATCAGCTGCTGACAACAATATGTCTTAAAAAAGTAACATAGGATCATGATATAGTGGTTAACAATTGACACTGAAGACGAAAAAAATTAAAATAACAAGAAACTATGTAAAAACGGGTGTCAGGTCATTTGGAAATCGAATTCAGTATCATAGAGGGTGGGTGAAGCAGTAAATAAGTGAAGTCCAAAAACAGATAAGATAGACTGTGTGATAATTATAGTGGTTGTGCAAAGTTTACATAAAATCCAAATCACTTGAAAATAGATACAGAAGACTTGAAAAACTAAGACTGTAATTGTCTAGAATTGGAAACTGATAAGATGGGTTACGTAGCAATTAACCAGAATTTGAAGAGTTTACATAATTTTTGAGAATTAAGTGAATGAAAAAACCGATGAATAAAAGGATGATTTTGTTGTACATAAAATAAGTATTAGTTTGGCCAAAACCACATAATAGAATAAACACTATTAAAGTACTGATAATAATATTGACAATAGTAATTAACCAAGGTCCGAGTTTCTTTATTGTTGCTGCTTCAGTAAACCGGAGACGCGGTGCTTTTTGTCCACTGATAATTATAGAGGATTGTGTACTGTCAGTGGTGTGCTCAGTATCAATCAAATGCCGAGCTATTGCACAATATGAAGCCATAGTGACTATCAGTATCAAATTCCCTGAAACGTGATAGAAAGTGTGAACCTATACTCTTTTCTTTGTTCTTCCGATGCATGCACTTTGAGACGTAAATGTATACTGTTAAATTCAGTTGGAAGTACTGAGAAAAGTGGACCTGTCAATCTTTGTATGTTTGAGTGAGCAGTTCATTTCATATGACTTCGTCGGTCCTGCCGATGGACAAGCAACGTTTATCGGAGCATCTATCGTAAGGTAAATAATTACAGTGGTTTCATCTCCTCAGAGGCCCAGCTATAATAAGCAGGTTTTATTTTCCACTGTGTTGTATATAACACGTCCTTTGGTTTGTCACACTTCTCGATGAATTGTACACACATTTAAATCATGAAACCGTTGAGAAATAAATTGTAGGGTTTAAAATCTGTTATTGAACTAGAAAAGAAATTAAAGTTTAGCCGCATCTAACCCGCATTTTTAACTGAGGGCATCAATGATCCACGAAGATTATATAAATCCCGGAATTTCTTCATTTCCATCTATAATGAAAGATCACATTTGTCAAGGCCAGCTCAATTAAACAGTCACCCGTGTTTTAAAAACACAAACTGAAAGCATTCTATATAAGTAATACATGGTAAATAGCTAAATATAAGGTCTTTCCTAGGTCGTACAAAACAACATTGGAGATTGTTTGTTGAATATCTGAGTAAGAACTTTCAAATATTCATGGTCATTTCAGGGTCATTTGGTTCCATCATGAAGGTTTCCTGGTTCTTGATATCTACTTATCGTTATTCGTATTTATATTAAGCTGACACAAAAATTCATATAAGCTCTGTTAACTTATATTTTTGGCGTCGCCTTTTTCATATTTATTGCAGTTACCATACATAATTAGATTAACCTATGCCTATAGGCATAGTTTATCTATTTTAATTTACCTATAGCTAAATTAAATTTGCTTCTAAAACATTCAGAATCAAAAAATTAGCTTCACATCTTTAACAATAATTTTAAAATAGGTTCAGAAGGTAGTTTTGTCACTTTTGGTTTGTAGTTAGGGTTTTCATTACGAACTGATATCAAATACAGTAGAAGACACATTAAGCGTCTAAGGCAATACGTACGTGGTTCATTTTCTTATCTGGACAATAGCGATGGGGTTCATCTACAACCAGCTGACGAACATCTAGTGAGGTGTGACACGTTCCTTGGTCCCACCCTGCCATTGTCCAACCGTGCTATAGTCTTACCATGGAACAGATGACACATTTAACGACAGTTCTTCGGGCCAAGCCCAAAGCGTAGTTTTGTACACATTACTCGAGTTCTATATTAGTTGGTTTTTGATAGGAAGATGGTTAGAATAGTCTGTTAATCATGCGTAATGAAGCTTGTTTAACAGGTTTAATCTTCATCAGTGTAAGGTTTGTAGAAACATTTTTCTGTTCAAGATTTAAGACCCCACCGCTAAACGAACTCATGACCTCCAGGTATTGTGGTGAGCACTTAACCTCTATCTATGTTTAACTCCATTCGATTCGTTATGTAGCACAACTACTCAATCTTTAGTGGTCAAATGCCTCACACCAGACATTTTAATTCCATTAGTCTTAACTTCTAACCAGGACTCCATGATTTGCCTTTTAAAATAAATCGCTAGTAGGGGCATAATAATTACCAGTAATTGGTTTTGCGAAAGTTCTTGAATTTTATCGAGATCACTTTATTTCCAACACGATATTAGTCGGGAATTTATACTATTCTTTTTTTAACTGATGATAATTAATTTCCCATGAACGTCCGTGCAGACTTTATCTCGGTTTAGTTGCAAAATTCTTTGGCTGGATGCTAATGACTGACTTAAACCTCGATATTCAACTTGAATACCATATAATTATCAACGGTCATGCTAATTTACAATGGTTAAATAAATCTTTGAAGTTGAGAGCATAAATGTGACAACAACCCACTTTCATAAATCATCAGTTATCTGCCTGTATTTGATGAAAATTCCTCCAGACTTCATATTCGTAATCGGAAATTTCATCCGTTTAATATGTCCAAAGTAAAGAGTGCAAGACAAATCATTTCAGATAATTCTTGTTTCAAAACAAATGTATTATCATTCTCGCTGGGAATGTCAAATATGTATTACCCTCCAAATTCCAAAGTTTATAAAAGCTATCTAAGTAATCGTGTCAGTGATGGGTCTCTTTCGATGCATTTCATCAATACTCTGTTTTGTCTTTCATGAGTTTTACTATACTTTCTCTTAAAATTATCAAGATATTAGGACTCATTCATGCTATTTGTTATTTATAGTTTGGAATAAGTCTTCCCATTTATTTTTTTCTGTACCTTTTAATTCTTAATACTTTTAGTTTCGTATACGCCGCTTAGCTATAAAGCTATTTATCAACAAAGTCATCGCTGCTACATCCATGTACTCGTTTGTTCAAAGTGTGCTAAAGTTCACTAAATATTCATTAAAAAACCGGCTTATGTGCTTTAGTTCCATCCAGCATCTATACAGCAAACAATTTTAAAGGGTACACTTATCATCTTGTGTAATGTACAACGATTGATACATCTGACAACTACCACACACATGAAAGGATTCGAAAATACTATAAAACTTAGTTTGATGAATGGCTCCAAGTAGTCATTCACTGTTTAATATGCTTCTTGTTTCTTGTGGGGGTTTTATATGTAGAATTGTGTTAAATTTGAATTAAAATGTACATGCAACAGTAATATTTTCCGAAATTTTAGTCTATCTTAAGCATTCCATCAATGATTGGATTTTGTACAAGTATCGGGAAGATTTCAACTGGAATACGGACGTTTACAAAGGTAATAGCTGCATTTCTAGATAAATTTGCAACCAGGCAAGTTTTCTTTTTGCTCCGATCCGTAACAAAAGTATGCATCTCGAACTCTAAGTAAACCCATTCATTTCAGTCTATATTGAAGTTTATGGGTGTCAAATGAACCATAGTGATACCAATATTGCTCAGAGTTTATTAACAAAAGCTGGGTATATTATTGTCCCGTCGGATGAACAGGTTGGTTCTTTTCTTCAAATATAATCCTACAGTGTGACACTGTCTTGCTCATGACATGTGCCATTCGAGATAGTGCTGAAGTAAAAATTTGGCGACGTATTCAACACCTGCGATCTCTTCACCGTAAATCATATATAAAAATAGGTGTTCTAGGTAAGTATCTTGTTTTAGACATAATCTTAGATTCAATGGTGCGTATGCTATAGGGTCCCTTTATAAGCTACTATAATCAAATATCCATTCGTAGGCCTTTTATAAAAGATCACAGTGGTCTCTGTATAATTGATGGAATGTTCTTGACTTCTGAAACACAACTTCTAAGATTACTCAATGACAAATTACAGCTTCATGGATACTCGGTTTTTGGTCTTGCCCTTTTTATGAGGACTGGTGACACTACCTGGTCAAACTGATGTAGAGCGGGGTTTAACTTCGTTATATGAATAACTGAAAGTCGTGTGTACTAATGAGCCTTTGAAAACACGACATTTTTCTCCTATAACATATTTATCATTTAGGTTTTCTAGTAATATAGTGTAGCATGCTTCCTGTATTTTCAAGGTATAATAAAAATAGAAAAACTAGAAACACATGATTAAAATAGTAAAATGTACATGTCTGTAAAAACTGAAAGCTTGGGTATCATTGGATGGCAACCTAGCATTGGAGCTGCTTCGAAATGACTGGCAGGGACTTACTGGTTTTGTGATTAAACACAACATTCTCAATGTTCTCAGTTCTATTCTTGTAAAGCTGATATTTTCGTTTTAATAACTAATGTTTTACTAAGTGCTGGAGGATAGTAAAACAAGTTCATTACATTTGCCAATCGTGATTGAGAATAACAATAACCAAAATCCTGCATAAACTTTGATAAACTGGTCTGTGGAATTATGTCTATGGAGCTAAAACACTATAAGGTTCTCACTAGTCATTTACTACATAAGTTTTTTCACAATTGGGCAGCGACAAAATTGTACTACATAAACGAAATAATATTGTAATGAACCAAAAAAGAAAAGAGTATTTCAGTCAATAAACAAACAAGTACAGTATTTAATAAGACATACAGTTCAATAAAAACTAGGGCTTCATATCACGAACTGACCACCTCTCAACTTTTCCCCCATTCCTAGTGTTGGCAAACAATGCACGACATACAGGACCCTGCTGTGACATCTGTAGAATATGTTTAAACCACCCTTCAACAGACGATACTAATGAACAGTCATATCCAAAATATCGAAGTCGTCTCGGATGTTAATAAATTTAACGACTATTGGTTTGTAATAAGTGTGACAGTGTTCAGGTATTCGACAGAGAATAGAGATGAGGTAAAAGTCATACTATTAAATTACGTGTCTGGAGTCCTCTTTTGTGATGCCATCACGCTGCCAAGCTTTTATAGCCTATATCAATCACTCAGTCAGCAGTAAGATAGAACTTCGTACGTACGTACGTACATCAGTTCAAGTTGCCATACCGTATTAGCACAGCGATACAATTGTCGATTCAAATCCCATAGTGGTAGAGGTAGTAAGAGTATAAGCAGTAATCGGAAAGATTAGGGTTTGAAGACGTTATCCAAGGAATATAATCCAGTGAGATAAATTTGGAAAGAGAAAAAAGAGAACATGAAGAATTCAGAAGATTAGAATTTGGGAGAACACAAAAAGTGGATGCATCTGCGCCATGGCAAACGATTTTGAGCCATGTCATTCAAGGTCTCTAACCATCAGTTGCTATCGTCTCGCGGATCCGAACCAGGTAGTCTACACTTATCAACATGGCTCAGTCCACCTGTCAGTGACTTCATGGATTTGTGACATGTTTTGGTCTGGCCGCCCTAGCTTTCTTCCAACCTACTCCTACACCATAAAACATCGCTTGCGGTAGTCAGTAGTTGGGCATACACATGTCCCAGCCATCTCAACTGATGAAGTTCCACTACCTCATTCATTGATTTGCCATTCTTACCTAGTACCCGTTTCCTAACAACTGCGTTACTTACTCGATTGTCCCAGGATATACGAGCAATGCTTCGAAGACACCTATGACCGAATACTAGTAAACTACGAATATCCTCTACTCTTACCGACCATGTTTTACAGCCATAAAGTAGGAGAGAATAAACTGCTGCGCAGTGAACGCGTCCTTTGGTTGGTAACTCATAGCAAGAAAACCTCACTAGCTGCCTTCAGATGGTGGGGCCGTTTTTAAAAAATCAAAGGGCAAAAGGCAAGTGTTTGGCGCTCAAAATGTGTTAGTGGATAAAATGGTTTAACCAAGAGGAGTTGCACAACCGTGACTGTACAGAAATTTTGAAATATAGTCTTTTTAGAAGCATCACAACTAGACATCTGAAAACAACGTTTACAGTATCAAAAAAGTGTAGTAAATAAATCCAAAAAATCTCTACCACAATTGCATATCAGTTCAAGCCCTTACAATATACCATGTGACCGTTAGATGATATTAACAAAATGTGATCTTCAGTACTAAGCACAACAATAATAATAGTAACCAAGTTCGACAATATGTTAATGATATTTTACTTAATAAAATTTCAGGATGTATGGCCAAAAGGTTAAAGGATAAACTCCTTATGGATGACAGCTGTAAAACTTTAAAAGCGGGTGATCTTCAGTCATCTAATTTTGATCATAATAATTACACTGTTGCGGCAGATTTTGTTTGCGGCCCTGATTCTTATCGTGATTTGCCGAAACTTATTGAAGATGCTCATTCTGGACTAAAAGGTGCTAGCGTCGCATTGTCTCTGGAAGAGACATATGCAGATGTAACTCCTGTACGACGTCATTTTACAACCGACGAATCCTCAGAACCAATCCCTGCTCCTACGGCTTTCCTATCAGTTATGCGTGGGTGTGATAATATGTGCACCTATTGTATTGTACCTTTTGTCAGAGGACGTGAACGCAGTAGACCATTGGATTCAATTCTTCACGAAGCACAAGGCTTATTTAATGAGGTATATTCACACATGTTTCTTGCTTTATAATAACTATAAGTCTATTATTCATAGGGGCAAGATTTCATGTTTATGGACATTGTAGTTCCATCATTTCGTTTTCTTAGAAGTGAGATTTTATTACCGTTATCAAGGGTTATTTGTGTGAACAAAATCGTATTTATATTTTTTCCCCGTATATTGTATTATCTTACTTTGGTCGGATTGTTTGGTATACTTGTAGAAACTATCTTTGATGAATTTATGCTAATGAACAAGTACTGTAACATCGGTTTACTTATATTTAGATCAGTTCAACAACACTTACTCATACTCTCTGCTAGAGTCTACAAATAATTAATTAGAAATTTATTTGAAAAATGTTAAATCTTTGTGCAAGGTAAATTGTCCTTTTTTCAAAATTTTCGAATTTCCCAATTTATAACCTACCATTTTTCCATCACTGATAAAAGTACAATTTAGTCCCTGCTGTACATACAGAGTTCCATCTTATTGCATTACAATGTTAGTTTTTATCATCGAATGATAGTAGCTGAGATACTTAAAGATATCAGAACTCATTTTAAAACTGTTTCGTTATAGCTTAAGACTTATCAACAATACACACCCGTCCAGAGACCTTGCACAACGGCCATATTATTTTTAGACCATTGAGTTGACATCTAGTGGTGCTTACACTTGTAACTTTAACTAATTTGTAAATTCAAACAACACTGCCCGGTTTTATTGGTGAATGACAACGAACTCACTAAGAACCTCAAACGTCGATGTTCCGGTGAACAAAAACACTCCAAAAATAAATTCCACAAATTGGGCGAAACTGAATCTTCGGAAAATTTAATTACACTTTTCCCGTCCGATTTTGCCACCTAGTCTGAGACCTCTTTACAAACCATTTTTATCTACTGCATAACTAAAAGATGAAGATTTGCAGTTGGCACAAACAAAATAATATATATATTGTCTCAATTAATGGATTCTGTAACAAGTAATACAACTATCAATATGAACTCATAAAGTGTATTTCGTCTTAGGACTATGAAATTGGAAAAAGACCATTATGTGGTACATTGAGAAATGGAGTTAGTTCCTAAATGTTTATCGTAGTATTCATCTAAGAGACGATCAGAATTGTGTAGCTTCTGTTGTGATTTTTTGCAGACTATCAAGTTTCTATTAACAATATTTTTAACGCTAGTGTAAAACGTACTTATCAACAATTGAGATCTGTCCTTGTGGCTGAGTACCCGTATAAAGGTCTATAAATAATGGTGTGAATCACTGATTCAGTATTTTGCTCAATTCTCACAGAACCCTTCCTAAATAATTAGAGCCCAGTTTACATTAATAAATCTGTTTACCGTAACAATGCACTTTTAGTAAATTGTGTTTGAAATCAGTTTTGCAGTGGTTAAAATTCATTCACTCTAACTTCTAGATTGTAAAACAGTATGAAATATAATTGTTTCAGGAAAATCATAACTTACACTTCTTAAAATGAAAAGTTATAACTCACTAAACCTCTAAAAATAGGTCGTGTTTTGGGGTCCCTGTTTGCTTTACTACTATCATGATTTTTCGCTTGATCTAGTATGAGTTTATACCCGCACCAACTTCCAGTCATTCATTCCAAATTCATCAGTATTAAATATATTGCCCTCAATTATTCTATGGTATCATCGACACTTCCAATTATTGTTTTGTTTTGCCTTTTCCTTCATTCATTTAAATAAAAGGGAGTAAAAGAAATTACTTTGCTTGGACAAAATGTTAATAGTTATTGTGATAATTCGAATACAGACTTATCAATCAACTCGTCTAAAACGATTTCAACACTTGTCCCTGGATTTAAAACTGTTTATAAACCAAAAGTTGGTGGTTTAAGATTTTTCGATTTATTAGACCAAGTAAGTCAGATTAGTCCAGAACTTCGTATTCGATTCACATCACCACATCCAAAAGATTTCCCAAAAGAGGTTAGTTAGTTATTTTTCTAATTTTTCATATTTACGTTACATTAAAAATATGTTTCAAAAACAACTAGAGAGGGAGTTGGTCGGTCGTGAAAATGACATGGCATGATATCCAAAAGACTGTGGAAACGGTAGTGATATCTCTTAGTAACTTAAACTAAAAGGTCAGGAAAAATCGGTGGATTTCGGCAGCGTTTACAGGACTGATAGGTGCACGGAAACTCGTCCTGCCCGGCTCTGAACACGATGAGGAGCGGAGGCAGCTTAAACGTAGGTTGATCAAAAGCCTCCGTAATGATCGTGAGCAGTGGTAGTTAGCGAAACGAGAAGAGTCGTAAAAATCAGCTGCAATGGGTAACGGTAGACAGTTGTTTAGATTTATCAGGGAAACGAGTATTAAAAATCCGATTGTTAATGAAACTATCTCAAAAAAGGCGGGACTATTATTCACTCTAAATCTAGGAGAATAAGCCGATCAGCAGAACACTTTAGGGAACAACCTAACTGACCTTCAGCCACACTTCAGTTACCCACTATCTCTAAGCAAACTGATGAAAATTCTCGAACTGTTAGAATGTCTGAGAAGGCTATAAATAATTTAAAGCGAAGGAGAGCAGCAGAGCATAATGGACTGACTTTTGAGATTTTCAATAATGGTGATTCAGTTTTAGCAGTTAGATTAACTGAAATTTTAGCGAAAATCTGGAAACTGGACGTAATCCCATCTGACTAGTCTCGATCGCTGATCGTTCCAGTTTATAACAAATAACAAAAATCTCATTGTGATAACCACAAAGGAATCAATCTTACTGATAGTGTCTGAAATATTAGCCTCAATAAAACCTCGGCTTCTAACTAGAGCTCGTGAAGAGTGAACCCGAGATAACTAGGCTGGTCTCTGACCCGGAGGTGGATGTGTAGAACAAATATTTACCCTTTGGCAGATCCTGGAACATAAACATACTCTTCGACGTCCTGCTATAATCATATTCCTTTGTGGCAACTTGGTTTCGTTTATTAGTCACCCTGATAACCGTTATTAAATAAATCCCAAAGGTGTAAGGATTCAGAAGGCAATACAAAGCGCCGGCTACAGTTTATATTGGATAGCGCGGATAACAAGCACGCCAATCGAATTTGAGCAAAGAGGCTACTTCACGCGTAGCAGGCGAATAAAGAGGTAGATTCTGAATCAAACCGAATCGAGGCGAAGCGATAAATAAGATGCAAGCATATATATATCACCATGTGCCACCAATGTTAGTGATTTGAGTTCACAAAATGTCATTCATGGTCTCTTGAAACCATTCTCTAAACTACATGTTATAGCATTCAATATTCGAACCTTTTGTCAGTTAAGACTCTACGATCTCGCGTCATTGATGTATACTGAGTTCCCAAAACGCTTATGCGGGGTTCAAGTACGGTTGTTCTGGTGGAGTTTTGTTCTCTGAGCTGGATGGTTTGGCCGTGGAGCTTTCATCGTTCTTCTGAACGACATCATCAGCACAAACTTCAGATAGAAGTGAAGTGTTCGAATTTCTCCATATGTGTTTCACAGCTTGTCCTGTATACCTCAATGTTGATTGGTTCTTGTTGACCTTAAATTTGTGATTGTTTACTTCGTTGTTCTGGTTGTGTCTCCCATTGGTTTGATTTTTGTTCCTATATTTGTGCATGATTTTCCTGATTGGTTGATAAATTGGATTGATTTCAATATGCTTGTTGATTGCTGATTGACCTGAGTGCCAGGCTTCTAAAAATTCTCTGGTGTTTTTGGGATATCCTCTGTCCAAGATTTCCACTTTTTTCCAATCGAATGAGTGTCCGAAGTTGTCCACGTGTATTGGTATAAGTGAGAAAATATGGCGTTTGACTGCTAATTGATGTTCATGTAGGCGAAGGTGAAGGGGGCGTCCGCTTTGTCCGATGTAGTGTTTTTCGCAGTTGGCACAATTTATTTTGTAGATGATGTTTGATTTGTTTTCCTTTGTTATTTCATCCTTTGGTTTGCATAGGATTGTTTTAAGTGATTTTGTCGGTTTATGTGCCACACCTATCCCGAAGGTTTTCAGCAGTCTCGTTGCGGTTTCTGATATACCTTTTGTTGATTTCTGTGCTTGACTTGGGTTCTGATGCTGCATGCGGTTGGTATTTTTTGATGAGGTTGATTGGGTAGCCGTTCTTTTGAAATACGTCCTTCAGGTATTTCTCTTTTTTTCGTGCTGTCAGTGTGTACTTGCCCTCTTGAACAAAGTGTGTACGCAGTTGGTTTTGTGAGCTCTTGGGTTGTTGCTATTGCAGTTGAGAATTTGATCTGTATGAGTCAGTTTCCTATACACTTGAGTTCCCAGTTTTCCTGTGTCGGTTCTAGTGAATAATATATCCAAGAATGATAGTTTGTTGTCTGACTCCTGTTCCATTGTAAACTTGATGTCATCGAAGACGTTGTTGATCAGCTTGTAAGTGTTTTCTAGCTCATTCTTTTTGACGATGACGAATGTGCAGTCTACATAGCGAATCCAAATTTTTGGCTTGATCACTGGTAATATCGCGGCTTCTAGTCTTTGCATCACTGCTTCTGCGATCAGTCCTGATATTGGTGATCCCATTGGCGTCCCTTTCGTTTGTTCGTAGATTTTGTTGTTGAATTGAAAATTTTTTAGGCATAAATCGATGAGTTCTAGTAGACTTTGAATTTGAAGCTTCGTGTACTTAGTGAGATTTGTGTTGTTGGTGAGGAGCAGGGATATAGTTTTTTTTGCTAACCTTGGTTCAATTGATGTGAATAACTTTGTTACATCGAAGGATATCATCAGTTCGTCGTTGATTTGGATGTCCTTAATTTGGTCCAGGAAATGTTTAGGGGATTTGATGAAGTGGTTGGATGAATCTACTGAATGTTTCAGTATTCGCGAAATTTCTTTTGACCAATTGTATGTTGGCGTTCCGGGAAGTGCTGCAATTGAACGTAATGGAATGTTTGGTTTGTGTATTTTTAGTCTGCCGTGGAATAGAGGGAGTACCGATCCATTGGATTTCATTCTCCATTGGTCTTGTTTTGTTATTTCTCCTGCTTTGACTAGCTTGTTTAGAGTCTTTGAGATTCGGTTGTCTAATTTTTTGGCGGGATTTATATTTATCAGTTTGTATGTGCTCTTATCTTCAAGTAGTTTCTCAGCTTTCTTGACGTATCCTTCTTTGTCCATAATTACTGTGTTGCGTCTCTTTTCCGCTGGAACTATGACAATATCCTTTCTAGTTCTAAGTTCCTTCAAAGCTTTTTGTTCTTGTGGGGTCAGTTGGTTATTTCCCTTCACCTGTTGAGTTAGCGGTACTATAGTTTGCCTTATTTCTTGTTGTTGCTTCACTGATTCCGGAAGTTTTTAGTGATGACCCTAGGGCTGCGAAGAATTTCAGTTTTGAGGCGTCGCTTGTATTGTAGTTTAATCCCTTTCGGAGTAGGTGTTCTTCCGTATTTGTTAGTGGTTGTTTTGACAGATTGATCTCGCAGTTGTTTGTGTTTCTTCCATGGGTGGTTTTGAGATCTTGATTAGTTTTTTCTTTAAGGTGTTTCTTCTTTGTTCTCTGTGTCGCTTGCATAATATCTCGATGGCTGTTGTCAAGATTTCCAAACTAATCAACCTCCTTCAAAAAGCTAAACGCTGTGACGTAGTAAATGTGTCAGGTAATTTTGATGCTCAAGTAGATGAACGAAACCAAACTGACAGGCTCTTAGGTTGTTACAGCTCAGCGAACATATAATGGCGGCGGTCTATTTCAATTATGCTCAGGTTTACGTCGGTTTCTATCAGACATCAAATTTAAACATATGGCGAAACATCGTCTGACCTGGCTACATTCACAATCGACTTATATATGAACTCAAATAGATCACATTGCCAATAGCTATAGTTGGGGTGGCTCGATTGAAGTGTCTCTCACTCTGGAGCACATATTTAGACTCTGATCACGCTCTAGGTCGAGCAGGTATTTGTCTGCATCTTACTAGAAGTAGAACAGTTAGTCATGTGTATTTGAGTTTATGAATCGGGATACCATATTAGTTGTTTAAAAAAATGTTTTGTTGGTCAATGAGTTATTACTTGTCACAATGTTATCCGGCTTTCAACTCTTATCAAACTGAAATGAAATTTTTGATTTAATTTTCTTCATTGTAATGATCATTGATATTTGCATCTAGGTTCTTCAACTAATTTCTGAACGTAAAAATATTTGTTCAAATATACATTTACCAGCTCAATCAGGCAGTAGTGTTGTTCTAGAAAACATGAGAAGGGGTTATACTAGACAAGCCTACATAGAGTTAGTGAACACTATTCACGAAATAGTTCCAAGTTAGTATCTCTTATTTAGTTCATTTATAAATTTAAATTACTGTAATTATGAGTTTTTTATCGTCCAGTTTAAGTTAGTAAGTTGGCATACCAAGAAAAACTATATTATGCACTTACGATTAATTCCATTTAGATCTTTTAATACCATCGAGCTAATAAAATAAATGTCACTTACTAGATTGGAGAAACTGATTAAAAAAGATTTGAAATCATTTATTCAAGAAAGTACTAGTCAGAATACAACTAGTTTTCTTAACAAACAAGTTGCTTTAGAGCATTCAAATCTATTTAGGGACTAAAACTAGTTTGGCATTGTTACAAGAGTGTGAAAGCGACAACGTACGCTTAAAATCCCTTAAATAAAATGGATTAGACTTCTCAAACATACAATTTTTGATGAAAATAAATAAATGCTAACAATCCACAAGCCTCGAATAGTTACATATACAGGAGCCAGTTATTCTACTGAAAACTACAAGATCGCATTCGTTACTTTAAATCAGTAAGTAAACTTGCGGAAAATCCTATAAGTCAGAAAACAACACAAATCCGTATGAAGCAAGAATATTAGCAAATAGCTCATTATACTTGTTATTAAGTAGCGTTCTGTGAAACAGAAAAGGAGAAGCGAAAGGGAAACAGTTTATGAATATCGAACAGTTTTAATAAAGATTATTAGTGGTGATAATCAAGATTGCTGTCTGCAAATCCCATGCATTACATTTTAGACAGTCTTACTTTAGTGAAATAACATATGCATTGTCTCCTTCTTGCTTGATCTACAAGCCCTGTGAGTCTTTATGCAATTTGCTCCCCCTAAAATAGTTTTCTGATGGGCCTTGTCCATCCCAAGTATCAATTAGGTTTTCTAAGACATTAAAAAGAAGAATATATTTGTAAAATCTCAGCGAATGAATTTTAAGTAAATCCAACGTTTCGCCTGGCAATCTGGTCCAAGCTTTTTCAAGGAAAATATAATCAAACAACAAAATTATCGAATATAAATAGGTACATGGTTCTTCGGTTTACTGTACACTGAATAAGTCATCCAATCGACGTGAAGGATTTCTTTATAGATAGGTATTTGTATTAATGTGTAAGAGACATGTTTATATGAAAAATAATAAAGGTCAAACAAATAAAATAAAAGTTCATTTGAAAATAATCAAGGGGAGAGAAAAATAAGAAATTGTCATGTTATCCTAGGCCATAGAATGACTTAAGGATTGTAAGGTAAATTCAAGGTTATGACAAATTGTTTTGTATGTGTTATGGAACCAAAACGTGTTAAGATAACAGAATGTGTTTATACGCAAGTGATATGAGAAAAAATTTCATTCAACTTAATATTGACTACGGTCTGTGTATATTAAGAAAACAAATCATTTTTATGTATGAAATGAATCAAAATGCTACAGCCTGCATTAAATGAAGATAAGTAAACAAAATAAACGAGGAATGTATATGTAATTGAAGTGTGTTATTTTAAAATGTTCCAGTCAATTGTTTAACATATTCAGATAAGATAACGGATTTGAATCATTGAACGTATTATCTATCAATTAGTTACTATGGCATGAATATATCAAATGGCAAAAAGGAGATCAGGTTTACTTATTAATTATTAGTTGCCATGGTGCAGCTAGTTGTATTCCATCTCTCCTATTAATATTGTTTAAATTAGCCCATATATGTAAGGCTTCAGCTGTTAGGCGTTCTTTGTAAGAATTAAATCCTTTTTGAATGATTCTCGTGCCATTGAAATCAACTGTATGACCCGATTCAATTGAATGTAATGCTATCGCTGATCTGTTCTCAAGCTTTTTTACATCAATTGAGGATTTAGGAATATGTTTTAAGCACAGTTTGTGTTCTTTCACCCTCACATTCAGTTGTCTTGATGTTTCACCTACATACGTTGCATTATAATCATTACATTTGATTTCATAAACACAATTTTGTTGATCATCCTTGTGTATTGGATCTTTGATTCTTACTAGTTTTGATCTTAGAGTATTGTTTGTTCGAAAAAATACTCTTATATTTTGACGAATTAAAATCCTTCTGATGTCTTCTGAGATACCTTTACGATATGGGATCACTACTGTATTCATCCAATCTTGCTTAACTCTTTTTTTAAAAATATCATCCCGTTCTTCATTCTTAATTATTCTTTTAATAAAACCTTTCGGATAATTATTCATTAATAGAGTGGATACAACTAAATTCATTTCCATTTTTATATCATCTGGTTCAGTGACAAGTTTTTTGACTCTGGTGATCAAATTTTTGGCCACTGTCACTTTGGTCGCGTGTGGGTGCGCAGACTTAAAATCTAAAAATTTCCCTGAATATGTAGGCTTACGGAATATATTAATTTTTAAAAAATCATTATCCTTCCTTTCAACCAGGCAGTCTAGAAACGGTAATCTGCGTTCAGTCGATTCCAACTCTTTAGTAAACTTGATTTTGTCATCTACGCTGTTGAACCGTTGGAATAGTTCGTCTAAGCCATCTCGTTTTATGATGACAAAGGTATCATCTACGTATCTTACCCAAATTTTTGGTGGAATGGAACACATTGAGATAGCAATTGTTTCCAATGAATGCATGAATAAATTAGCCACAATTGGAGAGACAGGTGATCCCATAGCCACACCTTCTGTTTGTCTGTACAAAACTCCTCGAAAAATGAAAAGCGTTGAATGTAAGCAAAGCTCCAACGCTCTAATAATGTCTGTTGGGTCTAGACGGCAACGCTGTTTAAGTTCAATGTCAGAATCTAACAGATTATATACAATATCTAAAGCTTTTTTAATAGTAACATTAGTGAACAATGAGCAAACATCAAAACTTGCCATTATTTCATCCTCTTCTATCCGAATATTACTGACAATGTTTTTGAAATCATTAGAATTTTTTATTTCATATTTTATTACGCTTTCATATGGTTTAAGAATTTTGGCCAAGTATCTAGAAAGATTATAAGTTGGTGAACTAATGTAATCAATCACAGGTCTTAGTGGTACATCTGTTTTGTGTATTTTTGGTAGGCCATAAAATCTACACGGGTTATTGCTTTTTGGATATAAAGAGAACCATAAAGATGATCCTAGTTTGGGCTTTAAATTCTGTAACAATTTGGCCGTTTCAGCTTTCAACTTATTTAAAGTAGCTCTACATTTGCTCTTCATGATTTTTTCATACGGTCCATTATTGAGATGTTCATTGACTTTTCTTTCATAGTCAGAATTATTCATAACAACAGTGGTGTTTCCCTTGTCTGCTTTCATAATAACAATTTTTCTGTCTTTACGTAACTGTTTTAGGGAATACGTTTCTTCTTTAGAGATATTAGGCGTATTAGGTTTTTGATTCAAAATTGCAGCTGTGATTTTAAACCGCAATGAATTTGCCTGATCATCCGGAACATTGCTTAAGGCAGGCTCGATCAACGGAATAATTTCAGAAGCCGAAATCCGTGTTCTGTTCATATTGAAATTGAGACCTTTTTTAAGTATTGAAAGTTCGTGTTGATTTAACTGTCTATCCGAAAGATTTACCACTATTTTGTTTATATCGAGTTCCTTGGATTTAATTTTATTCTCATCATTGTTGGATTTCGACGGATGTTTAAACATTTGTTCAAATTTTCTCATTTGACGTCTTTTTGTGATTTGGTTATAAAAGTTATCTCTATGTTTCAAAAATTCATTAACATTTGTTTTTAATTCTGGTGGTATAAATAGTGATAACGCACTATCAATGTTTGCTATACGTGAACATAGGGATTCCAAGTTTAAAGTGGATTTATGTATACGTTCTCTAAGGAATACTCTAGTAGCTGTAATAGCTGCTTTTTGTGAACGTATAGAATTGTCTGGAGTCTTAACTCTTAGTGTTTTTGGATAAACATGCTGGTTTAAACAGCGTAGATTGAAAATTCGATGGTTATACCAATTGTACATTTTTTTCGATAATTTTATGAGATTGCAAAATAATAAATAAGAACTTTCGTCTAAATTTGAACGAATAGTTTCACAATACTTGGACGTATACATAAATCCACTTTAAATTTGGAATCCCTACGTTCACGTATAGCAAACATTGATAGTGCGTTATCACTATTTATACCACCAGAATTAAAAACAAATGTTAATGAATTTTTGAAACATAGAGATAACTTTTATAACCAAATCACAAAAAGACGTCAAATGAGAAAATTTGAACAAATGTTTAAACATCCGTCGAAATCCAACAATGATGAGAATAAAATTAAATCCAAGGAACTCGATATAAACAAAATAGTGGTAAATCTTTCGGATAGACAGTTAAATCAACACGAACTTTCAATACTTAAAAAAGGTCTCAATTTCAATATGAACAGAACACGGATTTCGGCTTCTGAAATTATTCCGTTGATCGAGCCTGTCTTAAGCAATGTTCCGGATGATCAGGCAAATTCATTGCGGTTTAAAATCGCAGCTGCAATTTTGAATCAAAAACCTAATACGCCTAATATCTCTAAAGAAGAAACGTATGCCCTAAAACAGTTACGTAAAGACAGAAAAATTGTTATTATGAAAGCAGACAAGGGAAACACCACTGTTGTTATGAATAATTCTGACTATGAAAGAAAAGTCAATGAACATCTCAATAATGGACCGTATGAAAAAATCATGAAGAGCAAATGTAGAGCTACTTTAAATAAGTTGAAAGCTGAAACGGCCAAATTGTTACAGAATTTAAAGCCCAAACTAGGATCATCTTTATGGTTCTCTTTATATCCAAAAAGCAATAACCCGTGTAGATTTTATGGCCTACCAAAAATACACAAAACAGATGTACCACTAAGACCTGTGATTGATTACATTAATTCACCAACTTATGATCTTTCTAGATATTTGGCCAAAATTCTTAAACCATATGAAAGCATAATAAAATATGGAATAAAAAATTCTAATGATTTCAAAAACATTGTCAGTAATATTCGGATAGAACATGATGAAATAATGGCAAGTTTTGATGTTTGCTCATTGTTCACTAATGTTACTATTAAAAAAGCTTTAGATATTGTATATAATCTGTTAGATTCTGACATTGAACTTAAACAGCGTTGCCGTCTAGACCCAACAGACATTATTAGAGCGTTGGAGCTTTGTTTACATTCAACGGTTTTCATTTTTCGAGGAGTTTTGTACAGACAAACAGAAGGTGTGGCTATGGGATCACCTGTCTCTCCAATTGTGGCTAATTTATTCATGCATTCATTGGAAACAATTGCTATCTCAATGTGTTCCATTCCACCAAAAATTTGGGTAAGATACGTAGATGATACCTTTGTCATCAAAAAACGAGATGGCTTAGACGAACTATTCCAACGGTTCAACAGCGTAGATGACAAAATCAAGTTTACTAAAGAGTTGGAATCGACTGAACGCAGATTACCGTTTCTAGACTGCCTGGTTGAAAGGAAGGATAATGATTTTTTAAAAATTAATATATTCCGTAAGCCTACATATTCAGGGAAATTTTTAGATTTTAAGTCTGCGCACCCACACGCGACCAAAGTGACAGTGGCCAAAAATTTGATCACCAGAGTCAAAAAACTTGTCACTGAACCAGATGATATAAAAATGGAAATGAATTTAGTTGTATCCACTCTATTAATGAATAATTATCCGAAAGGTTTTATTAAAAGAATAATTAAGAATGAAGAACGGGATGATATTTTTAAAAAAAGAGTTAAGCAAGATTGGATGAATACAGTAGTGATCCCATATCGTAAAGGTATCTCAGAAGACATCAGAAGGATTTTAATTCGTCAAAATATAAGAGTATTTTTTCGAACAAACAATACTCTAAGATCAAAACTAGTAAGAATCAAAGATCCAATACACAAGGATGATCAACAAAATTGTGTTTATGAAATCAAATGTAATGATTGTAATGCAACGTATGTAGGTGAAACATCAAGACAACTGAATGTGAGGGTGAAAGAACACAAACTGTGCTTAAAGCATATTCCTAAATCCTCAATTGATGTAAAAAAGCTTGAGAACAGATCAGCGATAGCATTACATTCAATTGAATCGGGTCATACAGTTGATTTCAATGGCACGAGAATCATTCAAAAAGGATTTAATTCTTACAAAGAACGCCTAACAGCTGAAGCCTTACATATATGGGCTAATTTAAACAATATTAATAGGAGAGATGGAATACAACTAGCTGCACCATGGCAACTAATAATTAATAAGTAAACCTGATCTCCTTTTTGCCATATATTTATGCCATAGTAACTAATTGATAGATAATACGTTCAATGATTCAAATCCGTTATCTTATCTGAATATGTTAAACAATTGACTGGAACATTTTAAAATAACACACTTCAATTACATATACATTCCTCGTTTATTTTGTTTACTTATCTTCATTTAATGCAGGCTGTAGCATTTTGATTCATTTCATACATAAAAATGATTTGTTTTCTTAATATACACAGACCGTAGTCAATATTAAGTTGAATGAAATTTTTTCTCATATCACTTGCGTATAAACACATTCTGTTATCTTAACACGTTTTGGTTCCATAACACATACAAAACAATTTGTCATAACCTTGAATTTACCTTATAATCCTTAAGTCATTCTATGGCCTAGGATAACATGACAATTTCTTATTTTTCTCTCCCCTTGATTATTTTCAAATGAACTTTTATTTTATTTGTTTGACCTTTATTATTTTTCATATAAACATGTCTCTTACACATTAATACAAATACCTATCTATAAAGAAATCCTTCACGTCGATTGGATGACTTATTCAGTGTACAGTAAACCGAAGAACCATGTACCTATTTATATTCGATAATTTTGTTGTTTGATTATATTTTCCTTGAAAAAGCTTGGACCAGATTGCCAGGCGAAACGTTGGATTTACTTAAAATTCATTCGCTGAGATTTTACAAATATATTCTTCTTTTTAATGTCTCAAATTAACTCGGCGCCCAAATATTGTGAAACTATTCGTTCAAATTTAGACGAAAGTTCTTATTTAGGTTTTCTAATATTGCAATGAAGAGCTTCACTCTATGAATACATGTACACACCCAAGCACCGTATTTATTTCCTTATCATAATCTAGTTAAATTCTGAGTAGCCGCTGAATGTTCTGGAAATGTGCTAGTTTTTATGCGTTTGTATGAATTGTCTTCGAATGCTCACGTAGTTCATACCATTGTTATCTTTCTTCCAGATGTTAGCCTTACGAGTGATTTTATCGCAGGATTTTGTGGTGAAACTGAAGAAGATCACTCTCAATCTCTTGAGCTCATTGAACGTGTTGGTTATTCATTTTGTTTCTGTTTTCCGTACAGTATGCGTGAGGTATGCATCATTTATATTGCTTTTAAAATTCCTTTTTTATTTCTTTAGTGTTGATTAACCACTAGCTCTCTCTGCAATGAACCAGTCGATAAACGTCGAATAGAGTCTAATGTATCAAATACTCGACCATATGCCAATAGCTTACTATGTGAAGGGTAATAATACTATCTAGCTGCACTAATGGAAATCAATACAGTAGTATAGGTTCAGTTATTTTATTTAGTTTTTTTAAGAACACTAAGGTGGAATAAGGACTTTTGGTATGTTCTTTAGCTCACACTCTGTTTGAATGCAAAAGCTCCTTCTACATGTCTATTCACATGAGAACATCTAAAAGTCATCGATAATTCATCATACTTTAAACACTATAAACCAACTCGACATTATCACATCACTACATTAAGTTTACTGTAGTAAGATTCATGCACCAACTCCCATACAAATTGGTCATTAGGCCTATTCATCCAGTCATTTCAAAACCGATCAATACTTTGTTTGGTGATACTCTTGTTTACAAGTAAAGGTCCGTTTGTTAAGACTGTGAACGTTAAGAGACTAGTGTCGGTAATATGTTGCGCATGTTAAACCACCCGACACCCCATTAGTAACTAGAATAGAAGCGGATTAAAAGAAATTTAAGAGGTAACCGAACTAGGACCTACTGCCAATCTGTAAATCCATTAAATGTTGATCAGTCTTGTTGAGAAGTACAAATTGTCTGCTTCAGGACCATGCAGCAACCGTCAAAAATTGTTGGAGACACTAAGTGATATAGCTAGAAATGGATTGTAATTCCACAGATACATCTATTCTTTGCTTTGTTTTAATATTCCACACTTTTTTATTCCTTGAATTCATCTGTTCGTTTAAAAAAATATCTACCCGTGTTTAATTTTCACTATTATTGACTCGTTCTCTCTCGCTGGATGCTCCTTAGGATTATGGCGATTCAGACCAATGGACATTTATGACGAGTAGGTTTAAATGGCTGGAACTAAATTAAAGGGCATTATAATTCATTTTATACGATTCTGCATATCGTCCAGTATTCTAATGCTTGAAAGTAAGATCCATTTCACCACAATATGTTCATTCAAACTGTCAATATAAACAAATAAGTGTTTCTTGCTCGTTTCCTTGTACTTCCCCTAATTTCATTATGTTGTATTTTGACTTCACTTTAGAAAACTTTTGCATATCATCATTTAACTGATAATGTACCAATTGAAGTGAAAAAACGACGACATGAAGAGTTATCAATGATATCTCGAAATAAAAGTTTAGAGTTTAATCAAAAACAAATTGGCTCTATTCAAATTGTTTTAGTTGAAGGAGTAAGTTAACTAAAAAATGACACAATGACTAATTCGCGCCAAAGTGTTCATTCAGAAAAATTATTATTTGAAAATGAAAAAGTATTTTGATCATCCCAAGATAAAACTTTTCAGTCAGCGCTAAATGTCAATTTCATTATTGAGTGAATAGTTCTTATGATGAAGCTACTGCTCGTTACTGAATAATTGGTGATCCTTGAAGCCTCTTTGGACTTATCGATTGAGTACTTATCAATACCCTCCCTTAAAAAATTCCACCTTATCAGGTATCGAGTGATTGAACTAAATCTTCTTGAGGCTAACAAAATACTCACATGACATATTTCTTAAACTTGGACTTCAGACTATCTTCATATTTTCAAATCCGATCGCCAGTATTGGTAAAACAAACATTTTTGACTTATCATTTCAACACTTCTTATGAAACATCGTACTTGTAAAAATCTTCTGACAGAATGGGATTACCTAGTTGTTTTTATTTAAGTAAATACAGTTGTTCAAGACTATGAATTTTTAGAAAGAAAGAATTCATATCTTGATATATCCCTATAATATGAACGAGACTGAAAAGGCATCGCTACTCTTACATGTCTTTATTTTGTTATTCTGAATAATATCCCTAGCCAATCTGTATCAAATGTTATAGCGTTGCATTTTCAAATACTCCAATATATGACTTCGTAAAAATTTTCTATTAAAAACGCGGGAGGATATCTGGAATTTATAACTGATTACATATGCTAATTATGAATGAACTAAACACTGCAAATCATACCACTTATCAGATTTTTATTTACGGTTAATATGTTCGACAAGACCCTTTTAGTACGACAACGGATTTGATGTGATTGGATAAATCAAATAACAAACACTCAATTATGCATCAAGATTTGCTCAACTGCACACAATGAGAAAAAAGATTGAAGGAAACCTTTTTATCTCAAGAAAAACTAATCATTCAAATAAATACCAATGTATATAACATTTACATGATCTTCAATAAACTATGTAAAAGTGGTATATTAAAATAAAGTTTAATACGAATAACCAATAATAAAAGAGGTCAATTATCATTGACTATAAACGGTGTTCACAATGTGATATGACTACTAACTGGTATTAAATGAGTTTGAAATGCTAATAGCATTATTTTTCGAAGCAACCCTGACAAGACCTTCATCCAATAAGCTTTACTAAAACGTACTTATTTTACTAGCCATTGAGTAGCACTACTATTTGTCTTTAAGCTCCGTTTAGGAATACATCACAAATGAATCTATAAATGTTGCTTCGAAATTATTATTAGCGCACTTCAGTAATTATTCCTTGCAATAGAGACAAATGTCACTGACTGTTGCATCGTTTTGCAACTATCTTAGTGTTAATTGTACAAATATAAAGAATTTTCAAAGTTCCTTAAATTAAAATATTACGCTTTATTAATTTTAGCCTAGTCGTCGTTCACCAACGCAAGTGTTTGGACGTAATGATTATAATACGAAGGTAATTTTCGACCAAGATGTTACACAAATACCAACTACTAAAAATCAAGATTCTTCGCGTATATCCTTCAAGCCTGGTGATTATGTGGTTGTTGAGGTTTGTAAATATTTCTATTCCATTAAATTTTAGTAGTGATGGTATTGGGAAGATAGATCACAGTCAATATAGCTTCAAACTATAGAGCGATTTTAAAACTAGATACAGAGCTCATTCGAAGGGATTCAGTGATAAACAAAAGTTTCAGTCAGTCGGCTACAACGCACCATGCATAAGCATCGGTCCAGCACAAGATGAACTCCAAATTCTTAGCAGTTACTTCAACCGTAGTAAAAAAATAAAATTCTAGTGAGCATTGCGCGTTGTGGTAATCGATTTTCAGGTATTGGTAACTCGTGGCCCAACCTTCTCAGTCGATGAAAATTTACAACCTCACCAACTGATTTACCATCATTCTCTAATACTTTGCACCCAAGCTCACTATTTCTTACCCGGTGATCCCAGCAGATGCTGGTGATATTTATAAGACATCTCTGATCAAATATTAGTTAGAAAAGTTGATAAACCAGTTTAGCGTCAAGTTCAATATATAAAGTGTGTCTATATTTTCTTCACATTAATTCTAACGCATAATAGAACATCTTCAACATCAACAAACGACACCCTGCCAACGATACTGGAGCATGTCTAGCGACTTGTTTGATGGATCAGTGATATGGACGGTGTAAAACGATTTGGATGGTTCGAATTTTATATGTACAGACTTCCCCAAAATAGAACTAGTAGTAAGAACAGTCAGTGCCAAAACAACGAGAGACTAATGTGGAGAGAGTCAAATTAAATACTAGTGAATATCCTTCTTTGTTCTTGCCTCCCCTCTTTTTAAAACTTTTCCATGTGTCGTTTCGTATCTGTTTGTTTATTATTACAAAAAAGAAGAACGAATTCGTCCACTTGATTTTTAAAAGTAGGACTCCCACTCACTGTAAATTTAGGTAATCTCAAAATGTCCATACAAAGAACCAGATAATATGGACTGTATATTAGGGATACACAGATCTTTAGAAACCTGCATAAGTGGTAGTAATTTATCTAGTTTTTTATACTGTTCTTTTCAGATTGTTGGTGCAACGTCTCAGACATTACAAGGAAAGGCTCTTGGCTTGTCTACACTTGGAGATTTTTGTGAAACAAAGTGGCATAGTGTGAATACAGCTAAAATAATATAAATCGTTCTTATTGATCAGAATTTTACCTTGGGGTGGGTTCTAGCATCGCATTTATCTCCTCACCTTTACTGTTATCCCAGGTGAATATCGTTTACTATCTATCCGTGAATTTAATAGCTAATCAAGAACTATCACGATAATGTTATATTGCCATTATTGGCTCGTACCCTGATGTAGTTCTAGGTTTTATATACAGGTAATTCGGCCGAGCTGTATCAGCTGAAATATTTTTTTATTTGTAGACAAATTTACTTAGCAGGCCAGCTAGAGAGCAGATGAAACGAAATTAACCCTAGGCTGGAAGGTAACTAACATAACAGGCTCCCAATGAAAATATGGGGTTATAAGAGGCCTATCTTAAGAACGACATACATCTTGTCCGCGAATACCTGGTAACTATAAAATTTTGGATATACGTTGTATCTCTAAGCCCCACCCAGTATCCAAACGAAAATGTTCGTAGCGCATCACAGAGTGCTCTGGGGACAAAACTAGCGTCGGTAATTTGAATTTAAACTGAATTAACGTATCTGTGGTCGTAAACAGAGTCGAGTTATATGAAAAGTGAACGTAGCAGTTGGTCAGACGAGATAGTTCTTCACAAAGTTATGGATGCCCATTGACTTAGGTGGTTGAAAGATGTCATTTATTTACTTTAACACATAAATATTCGTGCAAGGTTTAGTGGTTCTTGACAAAATATATCGTAACCTAAAAACAAGTGGATCTCGTAAAATAGTACGTTAAGTGGGAAATACTGTCCGAAATAATGAAAATAAAGTTCAACCATTGAATGTTTGCTAGGACACTCATCCCATACATAGATACTCGTCGAAAAAAAACAAGCATTAGTTTACAAGCTTTCGTCTATTATATACTTGATGGTCACTCCCATTTAATACAATCGGTAACCGTGTCTTCGTCTAGCTGTCTTTTCATAATTCGGATTCCTGATTTCGCCGAATTCGCAATTAGCTGCATTTGGCAATGAACACGGAGGCACCCATCCATCGTCTTTAAGGGCAGCGAAACACTTGATGATATCTGAGTCTTTACGCGCCATTTTCTAGAATATAAACTGATGATTTGAAAACTTGACATCACTTACTCTTATCTGGTTAAGTGAATCATGTGGCGCATTGAAATTAATGAGGAAGTAGTGCCCTTCATATTGCCTTTCTCCTTGAACATGAAATACATTGGGAAGGCGTCGCAAGCCAAGATTCTCGACGTTGAATAGATGAGCACCATTATCGAGCATACCTTTGAGATGCCTTTTGAGAGCATCTTTTATACCAGGAGTGCCAAGAGCTTTAATTATTAGAGACATTTCATACCGTATCACGTTTGACATCTGGAAAACAATATACATCCTATGTTTACTGGAAGGAAATAATGAAATAGTTGATATTAAGTCTCATCCATATTCAGATGTTTGTGACCGAGGGGCATTTATTAACAGTAATATTAAGTAATGCTGCCCACTACTATAGCAAATATATATTTGTATTCATTAGTATAGCTGACCGCATGTTACTATATCTTCTCAGGCGAACCAATTGATGAGTATGTGGACCACCATCAAGCACCTTATAGATGACGAGGATAGGATTTAGTTATACAATGAATTAAGATAAGAAAAGTGACACAACTAGAAATGATAGATAGTTTTAATACGAATAATGAATGTACGTATAAATTACTCGGGTTCAGAACTAAAATGGGCAGCTCCATCAGTCGGTTGAAATCGCCATCAGAGTAAATTCCCGGACGAGATGCGTGCATGCTCTCAGCTCAATTAGGTTTATCTAACTGCAACTGCCAAATCAATGGTATTCATCCAACCGGTCAATCAATAATTTCAAATCAAATGTCGATTCTATCTTACCGTGTTGCCAATGTTACTGCTTCCCTCTCCTTTGAGCGTTATCTTCAGTCGCTGTCAATGATCTCCACAGCGGAAAAGTCTTTTTGAAGTAACAAAAATAAACAACAATTCCAAAGGCGTATGGTAATATTTGAACAAGGACGCCGAACTAAAAAACCGTCTCGGAACACAAAACAATATGAAATTACAATAGGATACAAGTTAATTCCCCTCCCTCACTCAGAAACAAATAAAACAGAACATAATTGTAGATCAATTTTAAAAAAGTAAGATGTAAACTTTGGTTAACCATATATTATATATAGTCGTACGCCTGTTTTAGACCATTACAGTGAACGATCTTTGACTGAGAATCGTCTCTGGTAACTTTATTTCACACGTAGATTATGTTGAGACTGGTTACTTCATAAGGACCTGTTCATTCTGTGTAGTTTTAGTGGCTGGCCCTGCCGATGGGTTTCATATGTTTAACCATAGTTTTTCTGATGGTAAAGGTACTCTGTGAGCCTTGTTATTATAAAACTCCTTTGGATGTTTTTGTGCCACACGCAATTGTACTCGAGATATATTATGGTACCTCAGTATATCCCCTGGAATCGAATGATTTTTTCTGACTTACGTAACATTCGGCCTTCATACGCAACAACTTTCGTTTCCATCCGAAGAAACGTGCGATAATACATAATCTTGGTATGTCTAGGATTAAAAAAAAACGGATTCCAACGTAAAATCTGAGTGTAACTCCGAAGCGAAAAATTCCCAAAACACACGAAGAATATTCTTCCCAATAATCTCTCTTCAGGTTCTACGATTATATATCCAAATTAATAATCCATAAAATTGGCCAAGATTGAGGCAGAGTACATCATGTTACATATACTCAGGTTTAGCAACTTATTGTAGGTTTTTTCAAAGATTTTCAGCTCCTTCATACCTTCCTATCAAAGGATAATAACTTTGAATAGACTGATAAGTGCCAACATTCTTTAGACTGGTTAAAAAAGTTTTGTTCTACGCCAATTTTAACACATTCGGACCGTCCTCCTACTGCTAGCCGTTTTATCTGATACAAGTGCTCAAGCTATCGGTTTTGTATTATCATAATCTTATTACCATCGGAAAGAGGTGCCAACTTGGAAAGCATACGTTTTAAAGAATTATGTCAATTGTTGGGGATTCAGATAATTAAAATAACCCATAGTGTCATTGAATAAGAAAAAGAGAATTCAGCGAAGAAAATTTTCTTTTCGACGAAATCATTTACTCAAGCTGTACATTCGTATTTATTGTTATATGGAAAATGTATGTCTATAGGAGGACAGAAAGGATTATATCACAAAAATTACTTCGTCGAAAAGAAAATTTTATTCGCTGAATTCTTTTTCTTGTTGGGAATTCGCAAAACGCGAACAACTGCCTACTATCCAGAATGCGATGGGCTTATCAAGCGGACCAAGCTGATTCTCAGAACGCTACTAAAAGCATTTTTTAGTCAGGAAGAAGCTAGATCGATAGATCTAGCTATAAACAAGTGTTTCCTGGCATATAGCGATAGCGTCCATAGGTCTACTGGATATACACCTCATCTACTATGGACAAATGAAACTTCTAGAGGAGCTGCTAACACCCACAAGGCACCAAGACCCTTTATCAGCCACCACACACCTCGAGGAATTTACTCTGATGGCGATTTCAACCAACTGACCGAGTTGCTTGATACGTTTCTGGTAAGCTTATAAAAGTAGCCTTGAAATTCCAGTTTGCCTAGAATAAGAAAACTGATTCAATAGTAAAATCGTAGTGTAACACGGAAGCATGAGACTAGTACTGTAGAACAAAACTATGTGAATTAATATGGGTGCTAAAAGATAAACAGTCAGTTGAACCACAAATCCAACCACCTGAAAAATATCCTTCTGGTGGATCGTTTTCTGTATGGGTACTAGAATGCCGACAATATCTGATGGATTTCGCCAGCAACCGACAAACTTGCTTACTAGACACCCTCATTTCTAGAGAAGTATTGAAGGAGCCAAGACTATCAAGTATAAGGATCCTACCGACAAAAGAAATAAATGATTCTTTTACTGAAATGCGACCAGTATTCGGGCCTTTAGGCATCCTGATTCGTTAAGAGAAGTTTCATCATGCTCAGTAAAATGAAGAAAAGTCAGCTGCCTTATTGGACGCTTTAGAAGTTAGCGACAGTGAAATCCGCAAATTATTCCAGAACGAAACTTAAAGAGATAGTTCTTAATCAATTTATCAAGAGTATAGACTTGGAACTACTATAAAAGTTTATTAAGCAAGCTCCCGAAAGCCTAAAACCTGCTCGTGAGCAAGCATACGGAATGATTTCAGATCGTTAGAGCCCTCGGTGAGACTATAATTTATGGACCTCTGAGCGACACTGAAGTGGCCTTAAGAATGTCTATCTACAGACTGACTAAACGAGGGTTTCAAACCAGTGTGAAGAATAAGGATTATGATTTGCAGTTGATGGTTAGGAATATGGATTAGATTTGGGGTTTTCATTACGAACTGATACCAGATAAAATGTCGAGACGCTATTTAGCCAAACAGATAAAGAATTTCGCGCCAAAATCCAGGACCTGTTGTCGTAAATATGATTGATTTATCTATAAATTATAGTCTCGTCGATCTCTCCACTGGAATCGCCGTTAGACTAAATCTTCTGACGGGTTTCGTGTATATTCTCAGCTCAGTTAGCTCTACATAACTACAACTGCCGAATTAAATGTATGTACTCAACCAATCAACCAATAATTCTAAACCGATTGTCATCCCTGTCTTACACAGAATGTAACACGTGTATTCAGCAGTCACTAGAAAGCGGGAAGACCTAAAGCCACAACACACACAATGTTAACTGAGCACTTCACACTACAGACAGAACACGGAATGGATACCAACAGTCGTTTATTTGGAAATTGAAACTCGCGGGTTATTTACAGAAAAGAGGGCTAGTTTACAAAACGGTCTTATGAGTCGTCCTGTAAGTTTAGTACGTGCAGGGCTTGCTCTTCTTCTTCTTTTAAGGCATTTATTCTTGGTTGCCCTACAATAGAAAGAAAACAAAATTTATTAACAACATCATACATGAGGATTTTAATCCCGTTACACCGCTCCCTCTCCTAATGAGGCACTGTCCTCAGTGCCTGGTCTTGGGTATGGGTATGCTGTCCCTACTTCTGATGGTACTTCATAAAATCTACTGGCCGGCGGTGGATCGACGAATTGAGCATCGAAGGGAAAGGTCGTCCGATCTCGTTTTATCTGGTTGTAGTGCACCGTTATCACGTCGTCTTTAGGCCGTTGTATGGTACGCAATACAAACGTGGTGGGTGATCTGATGAGGACGATTTCAAAGGGGCCTTGCCAGGGTTGATGGAATTTACTGCAACTCCCTAGCGATGTTATTGAGCGGCGTAGCCAGGCCCGATCTCCGAATGTATACCTCGATCCTTGTGCATGACGATCGTATATATCTTTTTGGTGTCCACTAGCCTTGCGTAAGTTAATGTTGACCAGACGGTATGCATCAGCTAGTCGGTTGCGGGGAGTACGTATGTACGGTACATGCTCTTGTTCTTCGTAGGGCAGAAGGGGTGAGTGTATCTCTACTGGCAAGCGTAATTCGTGCACGAACAGTGAAATAGCAGTTGAGAATCCCGTGGACCCGTGTACCGACGTACGATATTCTAAAAGGCATTGGGGGAGCACCTCATCCCATAACTCAGGCGACGATCTGCTGACGAACGACTGTAAGATAGCTTTAATAGTTCTGTTTGTTCTTTCCACGAGACCGTTACCTTCTGGGTGATACGCAGTGGTGTGTCTTCCTGATTCTTAATAGCCGGCATATCTCAGCAATGAGATGACTCTCAAAGGCTGGACCTTGGTCGGAGTGGAGTGAGACAGGGGCACCATAACGAGAGATCCAATGATCGATAAAGACTCGGGCAATAGTAAGGGGGTCTTGCTGTGGAATGGGTACTGCTTCGCACCATTTAGTGAAATAAGCCACCATAACCAGTATGTAGCGGTTCAAGTTTTTTGTCGTTGTCAGTGGTCCCATGATAACTTTGCCCACTCGCTGGTGTGGTCCTGTTGTCACCATCGATGTCATTGGTGCACAGGGTGTCTGTTGGGGCGATTTAAAACAGCAGCACGTGTTACAATTCTTGCAAAACTGCGCTACACCTTCGTGTATGGATGGCCACCAAAAGCGTCGACGGACAGCGTGTTCAGTTCTCCGTTCTCCTGCATGACCAAGTTCGCGGTGTACCTGTTCCACAATGCTCTCAACTTTCACTCGCGGTACTATCAGTAGGGGTTGTTTTGGTTCATTAATTAGGAACAACGTGTCACCATATAGTTTTAGGTTGCTCCACTTAGTGCAAATACGACGAGTTGTTACGGCCTGATCTTTTAGCTCCCTCGTGGATGGCTTCCTATTTCCA